AAATAATGCTAAGTTAATAGTAAGAATAAATGAAAATCTATACACCGATAATTGACTGATAAAACATTTTTATCAAAATGATCTGCTAGTCAGTCACTTTCAGATTTTTTGAACCGAATATTTCGCAGTTATTCAATAACAAACAACTAATTTTCTCTCTTTTCTAGACTATAAATATCTGTTTCATGTTGCAGAATCGCAAATTCGAATGACAGATATAGCAGAGTAAAGAGAAGTGATCAAGCTACATCCTCTGAATCTCAATCAAACTCAACTCAAGTTTCTTCAGAAGATCTCAAAAATGTCACTGACAGGCAACCAAAGAAGTTCTGTGACAACGGAGGGGTACTTTGCTTGATCTATAAAGCAATAAATGGAGAGCCCGTGGTGCCTACCAGCAAAAATTCTGCTCAGATGCCTTTGGAGAGAAGGGATGAGGCACCATCTACACAACTGAGGTACCAATAATTAAATACGTATATACTTAAATAATCACATGGTAGGTAAAATGATAAATAAACGAAAATGTCCAACATTTAATGCTCAGTAGACCATTGCTGAATTTTGAACTCGAAATCTACCTGTGTAATGCTGGACGAGCATTTACTGATTCTAAAAATCATATATAGACAAAGGTGGTACAAATATGATCGAGACGAATGGTCTGACACGTTTATTTACTATAAAAAACATTATTTACGCATTTTGTCCACCTTTCCGGAAGCTTTTTGATGCTGGTATCGAAGAATTCCTTGGGCAACTCGGATAGCCATGTGCACACGAACCCTTCTACCTCGTCATCGGTGTTGAAATTTTGACGTCCGAGGGCTTCTTTCAGTGGTCCAAACATGTGGTAGTCGCATGGTGATAAATCCGGACTGTACGGGGGTGTTTCAGTAGCTCCCACCCCAATTTTAATATTGTATCAAGCGTGAGGCGCGCAATATGAGGGCGCGCGTTATCCTGGAAAAAATCGCACTTCTTACTGGAATGCTCCTCCGTTCGAGCAATAAGTGGGTTTCACGTCTGTTTCCAGAAGGTTAGAGCAGTATGCAGCATTGATGGAACGTTGGGTGCCCAACTGTTTGGTGGTATGATGCTGGTTCGCGGTCGACGATCATGCGGCTCATTCTCGACAGTTTCGCGGCCATCCTTGAACGGTTTGGCCCATTTAAACACAGCAGCTCTACTGAGGCACTCGCTACCGAACTGATTTCGCAAACGCAGGAAAATTTCCGTGTTTTTAACGCCTTCCCACACTAAAAAATGAACGACAATACGTTGCGCAACTCATGGTCGTTAGCATGCGTGTGAAACATGCGCTCTCGACGAAAGCTGTGCCACACTGTTCGTAAGGGACTACTACTTTCTATTAATCTGGTTAATGGAGATATGTATATAACTATGCGTGGTGGAGGGTCCAGCCCATTTAGGTCTTTAGTTTGTGAGCGTTAATGTAAATGTACATGTTTTTAAAATCACCACAGACTTATCATTATAATCTAAAGTGCATAGATTTAATATTCAAAGCTCAATCTATAAAAGCTAATATAGGCATAAGTCCGCTGGGACCGAAGGAAGGGACTATGAGTCCTATTTTTGTGCTGTAAGTCAGGCTTGGTGATAGTTTGGCATTTTTGATGTGCATATTCAAACTTGAAGTCCCCAATTACCTCAGTGTACACAGTTTCGTTTGCCGATAACAAATACAATAGAAAATGGTGACACGTTGGTGGACTCTGCACTTTCTAATAAACGATGTAATCAATTGACAAAGGGCACAAGTTAGTTCGTCTTAGAGAATCGTTGGCTACGAATATGTGGATCATGTCTGTCAAACAGTCTCGTACAATTAGCCCATAGTCCCCATAGATTTGACAAGATTGTGATCTAGCCTATCGTCCTGCCGAAAGTACCGACTACCCAGAAACTCAAGTTTTAAGTACAGATGTGCGGGAAAAACTATTACGTAAGAAATATGTCTACGGGCGTAGAAGGACCAGGGCTGGAAACATATAAATTGCCAGCACCAAAAAATTGACATATACTCTCCCCCACCCTCTGCAATCCCCAACATACAATTTTTAAGCCTACGAATTTCTGAAAATGTTGAGGATGCCCTAGAGCGTCAAAAAAATAAGTTTGAGCGACTTTTTTATTTTGTTTTTACCTGTAGCTCCACTGCGGCTATACCGATTTTCACAGCATTAACCTCTTGCGAAACCATTTTTAAAAACCGGAGCGGCACTTTTCAAGTAATAGATTTGCCAAAGCCCAGATAGATAGGCCGATAGATATACTAACCGACCGATTTTTTCGCTATGTACATCTGATATAACATCAAGAAATATTATACTTGCTAAGGCAGCAGCGATGGCCGCAGTGGTAGACCCTTCGGTCTCCTGATCAGTCGCCGTGCGCTGCGCAGGACCGAATCCTGTCCCAAAATAATTTTTCTTATGGCTATATATATGTTGTGATTGTCCGTAGGTGGAAGACGGTTTCTCACTGTCGAACGCGTATCTCGTACACGGGGCCAGAATGTGTGCATGTTACATGCACACGTGTTTTCCATGGGTGTTTTTAGTCCTTAGACCTTCGTGGTAGTTGGAGTACAAAAGACAAACTCATTTTCAAAGTTTTTCAGAATTATAACGCATCTTTGCCAGTAGCGTAGAAAGTTATATGGACATTAGATGCTTTAGAGTTTTCAACCAAAACCAATGCCGTGAAAGAATCTGGCGGGTAAACTAAAAGCCAAACTCAGTGTTTCAATGAGGTTAACTAGATGCTCTGAAAGTCAATTTTGAAGGTCCTAAAGAGAAAAAAATTTTGCAATTTTGAAAATAGGACCGGTGGCATACTCGTAGAGCCACGGGGCAAAAAACTAAAATAATATAAACCACTCAAACTTCCTTTTTAAAAAAATTTCCAGATGCTCCTGATCATTTGCGAAATGATCTTTGTAGGGGTTAAACATTGGGTGCTGGGGGTTGGATGAGATGGGAGAGGGTATATCTCGATTTTTTATGTAGCTTAGTAATTCTACCCACCTATTTGTCATATTTCGCACATAGATTTCCTCGTACGTTTGTCTTTAACCCTGGATGGAGAAATAGTTCTAAACCCGTCGCTGCTTCAGCTGACTTGGTTCACCAACGGGTGTGCCGATTTTGGTAAGTGACTTGATATTATTGCCATTGTCCCGCGTTACTTCGTCTAACGTGTCGTGCGATCAGGTATCGGGGCGAGCGACGTTCACAAATGGACAGTACACGGGTAGGGCAGAATATCTATGAATCGTTTAACCTACTTGATCCGTTGGATTTCCGTGCTATGCATGTTCGTACCTAACTTCTTGTCCAGATGGCCAAACTTGTATAAAAAGTGCAGAGTCAACCTACTTGACACTATTTTTGTTGGCTTGTAACAACGGGAGACTAAAATGGGAGCTCTGCATTAAGAAACTTTAAAGTTAGAAAACATCGATTGAAGGTCTGTAGTTCGACCATTGTCTACCTTTTAAAATTGTTTGTAATTTTCATTTCATTGTCAATGACCTACTTTACACTTTTCTCTAATACAAATATGTGCTGGTTTATTTTTATTAATGCAATATTTGGTTTGTTTTGTACGTTGCACCATTATTTTTAGGTATGAAGGCCCACCAACGCCTTGTCCAGCCAAGGTCGAGTATGCCACGCCTGTGTTTGCCAAAAACTACCAAGGAGTATGGAGATACGTTGTACAAATACCTTACGAAGGGTACTTCACGCAAACTGTTGAAGTTACTAGGTTCGTAAGCCAAAATAATAGAAATACTATAATAAGGTGGAGGGATTATGTTCTTCTCAGTATACATTTTTATTCGTTAACATGTTGGATGAGATATATCCATGGAACTCAAGTGAACACGTACGTAGGTGAATCAAAAAAAAATATTTGTTTTCTGTATTGTAATAGCAAAGGTATGTTTTATTGATATACAATTAGAAAGCCTATACAATATTGTTCAATTCTTTCAAGTGGTACAGCCCTCGCAAACCTATTATAATCTTGAAAATCGTTCATTTAATGACAAATGTAGATCGAAAGCTCTATGTCGATGATTATAGTACTATTTCAACGGCATTTACAGCACGACACATTTCATTTAACCAGCTTAGTTCCAACAATACCTTCAATGACGATGTTTCATGATAATTGCTCATCATTAGCACGATCTAGGTTTCAAGATAGGTCAATGAACAAAAGTAGAGTAAACCCTATTAGAGGTATAAGGTCTCGAAATACTTTACAGCACCATCTATTGAAAAAATCGAGCACTGCAAGAGCTATAATTACCAGTCTACTGAAACTTTCTTCCTGCATTGTATTTCGATGAATCGTATATCTTTGATAAAAGATATTTTCGCTCTGCTTTCTTGCCGCCAATTCTAATCAATGAACGACGGTAGGGGAGACTAGGGAGGGTTGATACGTTTTTTACAAAAATGTTAATAAACATCTGTGATTAACATTTGCTAATCCATTTATGTCAGAGCTCAATTAAATGACTTCGCTTAGAAATTTGGCAACATTAGGTTACTGAAAAGAAATAGTTTAACTTTGAATATACAATTTTGAAATTCTCAATGCAAAGTGTCTCAACCTCCCTATAAAAGAGAGGCTTGATACACTGAATGGCAGGTTTGATACCATAAGAAATTAAATATAAAATACTAGAAGGACTGCAATCTTTTATTATTAGAACATTAACTAATCAATACATAATTCGCAAGAAAACATTTTTATATTAGTCTTGACATCTGCACAGGCTGAATGGCACCATTTTAGACATTTCTGGCAACGAATCCACTGTTCGCGAGAATCCGAATCATCGAACACAGGTCTTTCAATTTTTGCATTTCTATCCAAACTTTTCTTTTGGGGTGGGTTTCACTACTCTCGGCATTGAGTTGTTTGAAGTGATTTTTTCATTTTAACTACCTATTTTTCATTTAACCTGTTGAGTTTTGTTTTTTTATCCGTTTCTTTTCTTCCCTCATATTATATTCGGCCTCAATTGCTTCTTTTTCCGGGGTGTCGGTTAAGATTCTGGTCCGGCCAGGCTTTCTGCCTCCTTTGTTCAATCGTGGCAGTGCCTTGGGGTAAGGACGTACTTCCTCGGGACTTTTCAATAAACCAGATGTGATGTTTTGGATAGTAGTGCTACCCTTTAAAGAAGTGTTCTTTGTATTTGAAGTTATCTTCTGTTCAAATAATGAAGATGTGCCAGGCTGCGAGGTTGACTCCTGCTGAGATATGGATGTGCCAGGTCATTTCTTTCTTTTTCAGAATTTGCTCTAATTCCTGATTTGGTCTATTTGTAACTTCTGCTCCTGCGAAATCGAGATCTTCAAATAAATGTGGGTTGAAAGGATGGATTCCAGTTATTGAGAATCTTTTTTTATATTTGAAGGTGTGAACTCCCTGACATAAGCTAATCCAAATAATTCCGGTACATTTTTCAATGAAATTGTTTGTCCTGGATGACTGACCATCCAGGAATCTGCCTGTTCATTATAATACCTCTTAAACGGACCAAATACCGATACGTCTAGTGGCTGTAATTGGTGGCTTGTGTGAGGTGGTAAGGTTAATAAATGCATGTCATTTAACTTACATTTTCTAAGGCTTGGGTGAAATATGGCTCTCGTGATTGTTCCAGGACCAATATGCATTTGTTTTCTTTCGAAGATTTTGTGTGTTTTATGAAGTGATCTAGACAATTTACGAAATTATCAGCAGTCATCCAACCGCTTTCATTCGTCACAACAATGGAGCCTGGAGTAGCACCTTGGATCATGAAATCCTGCATTCTTACACGAGGAAATATAAAAATGGTGGCACAGAATTTCCCAATGCGTTTACGAGCAATGATCTTTTGAGGTTGTGCGCAGTAGTCACTCCCGTTTCGTCTAAGTTATAGATGGATTCTGACCAAAAGGTTCCCGTTCCAATTAATTGCGCAAATTTTTGTAAAATTCTTGCACATTATGTCGATTGAACGCAGTCGCTCTGCCCAAGCAAGTGGCTTCAGGACTTCTCAGTGATAATTGGGGGATGACGTGACATGAATCCTTTTAGCCAATCGTAGGAAGCACATTCGTTTTTCTTCCAGTTTTCTGGTAGTTTTGTATTATTTGCTCGGGCAAATTAATACGCAAACTTCCTGTTTGCTTAGGCGTAAGGGCATAGTAAAGGTTTGCAGAAGTGAGCAAATATTCCAAAGCGATTCTCATCAGATGAAAAAATTTGCGAAGTGACAAAACTTGGTGAAAAGGTGGTACTTTTTATCCGTCTGGTATTTTAAGATATATCTTTTCAGTATCATTTTATCAACATTGTACTTTCTGGCAGTAGTCCTAAGTGCTTTATTTTCATTCACTACTTCAAGCACTACGCTTTTTAAATCGTCTGGAGAATACTTCGTGCGGCCTTTGGATTTCCACTTAAAAGGCATCTATAACAATATACTCAATTAGCCTATGTAATTGCCATGAAAACCACATAAATAGTGAAAAATTATATGAAAAAATAAATACAGTTCAGACAGGGAGGTTTGATACACGTCATCAACCCTTCCGACACGAAAAGTATCAAACCTCCCGGGATGATAATTTTATGAAATATATAACGTAAAGGTATTACAACAGTTGATTAGAAGATCGATACTGGTGCCCCTAGTATTGTAAATCAAATACGCTTGAGGCATAATACGTAAGAGTTTTATTAATTTTCCTATCAAACAGCTAAAGCCTTACGTTTGGTATAATATACTTACATCGAATAGGTATAAAACACACTATAACCTCAAAAACCGCCAAACAACACGCGATCGTTCCGAGATTCTGTCAGCTACTGTTTCAAAACTCTACAATCGGCCTGCACGAGGCTAAGCATTCTTTACGAAACCGAGGCGGGATATTTGAAGGTGTATCAAGCCTCCTCACGTATCAACCCTCCCTAGTCTCTCGCATCAGTCATGTTCCTACTTTTTGGTAGGTAAGCACAATCAAAAAAAGTCACTTATTTGCGTCATTATTTATGAGAAACTGCATTGGCCCTTTCTTTTGGACCTTTCGTGATGGTATTTAACCCTCATAGTGGGTAAAAGGCTATCGTACAAGGTCCATATATTTGTAACTATAGAAGATATTAAGCGTAATGTGTTACCAACATGTTACGAAATGTTACGAGCGGAACAGGTCACAAGTGAAAATCACAGTCAATCGGTAGGGTGTGGTCTGTTCAAATGGCTACAATAGCTACGATGACAGCTTGAGATTAAAAGTCAAGAGACGGTTCGATTTATGCTAAATTTGCTTCCAGAAAAAGTAAGCCAAAATTTGAGACCAAGTAGGATTTCTCGTAAATAGGAAACCAGTATTTGTTTATGAATATCATGTTTTGTGGATTTATTTTTTACTATAACATAAATAATGTCTTCGCATCGTACTTCTTGGATTTTAAAAATCTGAATAGCTTATGCTACTTATTTCAGTAAGACGTGTTTTCGCGGATAAAACCATACACTATAACCTTTCCCAGGTACCCAATCCGCAAGTGCACCCATTTACGTCTGCCTCTTTTGTAGTTCAGATGTGATGCTGATGATCGGCTAGAGTGATATACCAATTATATTTACATCTGCAGACGAAGATACCGGCTCACACAGCATTCGAGTTGCTAAATAACATATAATGTATCTGCCCCGCATAGCATCATTAAGATTGTATGACAAATAACTCAATATTACATTATTATACTTAAAGTAAAACATTACACCAAGAAAATTTAAACCAAGACGACACAAAAGTCGAGATGCAGTAAATGCATGACGCATTACATTTTCGGTCGGATCCGATTGAGTTGTCTGGTCAGCAGCACTTGAAAACTTATACCTGGGATGAAAGGTAGCATCTGTTTTATTCCAGACTATAGTCTATCTCGGTACCAAATTTCATCCAGATCCGATTAGTCATTTTTGTGTGATTGAAACAATCCATACCTTCGCATTTATAATATTAAGTAGGAATGATACATTACTATAGAATTCTATTTGATAAAAATTTATTGTGATTTTCATTTAACAGTGACCCCCGCTAACATACAGTTCATAGCTTCCAACCTAGCAAGACATAAGGTACAGAAACCTCTTGAACATAAAATTCTTACATCACCAGAACTGAGAGCAGTTTCTATTGCACTCATTGGTTCCTCAAAAAATTAACGGTGAAGGTGGAATATCATTTGCTAACTATCATTTCTTTTTAGATGTCTTCAAGCAAAGTTGTCACTATTTAGACGGAGGTTTGTCCTTTCTTCACCAAGATGGTCAAGCTTGTGGTCGCCGAAATCTTCTATCCAGACACAATTCTTACTGGTAGTGATGCAACCAATCACAAAGAAGTTCAGTTGCTGCTTCTCAACCTCCGTCGGTACAAGATTTTCAGGTAAGTAGCCAACTCATGACGACCTCGGTCTTTTCTTCGTTCGAAGTGGTAACCACCTCACATATTCCGAATGTGCTATGAGTATCCATGTAGATATGATTTCCTCACAGGGCATGCCTTTTTAACAGCTACCTAAAGCGAATAGGAAAAAGAGAATACGGAAACCGGCGTTTGTTGCAATGACGGGAGGATATTCTATCATCTACTCTAGTGTGTGAGATGGTTGGAGAGACAGATAAAGCTGGAAATAATGCTTGGCATTTGTACCAGGTATATAATCGTGGGCAAACAAATTGACAATCAGATGTGAGGTGACTGATGCTGATCAAGGTGTAGGATGATCAAAGCACGTCAAGAAATGAACAATAGCTCATACACATACATATACGCACGAGTTATGTACGACGGTATAAATCTGGGAGCAACGCTACCCACCCTGACGAAATGATGCAAGCATTACCATGGTGGGGTGGACTGATGAGTTTTACTGCGGCATTTCTGGCCAATCTCACACTTCGGGTAGGGAAGGCGGAAAAGACGATATTGTCGAGCTTTTCTGCCTGAGTCTGGCTATAGAATAGAGTTCTTTTTCCTTCACAAAAAAAAACGTGCAATGCCTTTCCGTTATGACTAAAGCTGTGGAGTGTACGAAAAATAGCGTGCCTGGAACTTTTTTGATATGTTATCAAGTGCCAGCTCAAATGCACTTTTTTAGTAACGATAAACAGACTGATTGATGTATTGGTTAGCACAACAATGAGTATATTTCTAAAACACTACAAGAGATAGATTTTAAGTAGACTCAACCTGACTTTAAGATACTGGTACTAAATTCTTGCAAAAGCCATTGTGTATGGTTTCTTCTCCAAAGATAGAGACTTGTCGGTATTTTTTTATATACTCCAATTATCACGAAGCCTAAGACCTACACACCCATCGGGTACCGTGGTGCTATGGGGGAAACAGGGAAAAGGGGGACGCCACATAGACTCCGGCGAGCAAACACGTGTACATGCACACATTCTGGTGCCGCCTACGAGATCCGCCGGGTGCTACCTCTGCGTTCGCAGTCAGAGACCGTCTAGCCTCTACCACCTACGGACAGTCAAAATATCATAGCCAAAAAAAAATTTCTCTGGGGATGGGATTCGAACCCGCACACGCGCACGGCGACGTATCAGGAGACCGAAAGAGACTACCAATGCGGCCACCGCTGCTGCCTCTGAACAGCCGATGTAAGAAATAGTTTTTGCACATATTATTGCTACCTTTTGAATACATCATCTTGCACCAAAACCCATCTCAATAACAAGCACTTTATACAAGTTTATATGAACGTTTTTCATACGCTATAATAACGTCAAACTTTTCTAACAGTACCCTGTAACATTCCATAAGATTTGCGTTTGCTAAATTTCGTCATGATGGGTGGGCACAATTTTTGTTTAATCATTTAATCATCTATGTTATCTAACTCCTCAATACTAAATCAACCCTGTTTTCCATGGTGTTCCACAAGGTTCTGTCCTCAGCCCTATGTAATTCTTATCATACGTAAGTAAATGACTTGCCCAGTTGCCTTTCCCACAATATCAATAAGAAGCAGTTCTATACTCCATTAACACTTGTTTCGACTCACAAATTCATTACCAACTTGGATAATGTGTCTTCTGCTTGTAAGTCGGACGTTTTGAATGGTTTGCAACCAACAAGATTAGAGTAAATTCAAACAGAACTCTATTCATGACCATTACTCTACGGAAACATGATGTTGCTAATAACCATGTGGAGACAGTTAAACTTGGATTAACTCGGATGAACACATTCATTATGTTAGCAAATCGCTAACAAAAATTGTTTATTTGATTCGTAATCGTCAAGTTTTTATCCTGTTACCACCCATATTTTCATAGTAAATATGACATACATATGCTATGCTAGCATGAGGTCAATTACCACATATGAACAGTTTTTGCTTTGCAGAGGAGGTGTGTTAGCCACATAGAAAACCTGAAATAGAGCGATCCCTGAAGAGAATACTTCACGCATATACAACCCACCAAGAAATCAATTCATTCAATACTCGAAATAAGTCAAACTACCACATAAAACATCACAGAATCACTAAATATGGTAATTGCGTTAACACTTTTGGCTTAAAACTTTTTAATACCTACCAGACAGAAGCTCTACTTATTGACGCTTTTAGTGTGTTTATAAAGAGTTTTCTTTTGCCGAGAGCTTTCCATGACATCCACGAAAATACATGTTACGACTTCTTGGTTTTGACATCGCTTCCATATTTTTTGTCTAAGCTGTTGCCTTTGTTTATTTATAATGTATTGTTTCTTATTTCTTATTATACTTATGTATATATATATTTAAATTTCACATCACACCATGTACCCTTAACAACAATAAACTATCATAACATATCGTTGATGTCAATATTCCAATTGTTTCTGTTTCTGCCACAGAACTACCAACAGTACCTTCAGAAGCGAGCGGGTCTCCTCCACACTCGATGGACCAAACCACGACGAAAAAGCCTCCCCAATGTGACGGCGTGGATGCATTGGGCTGCTTCCAAGTCAGGCTTTACTACGATTGGTTCCTGATTCCAGGATCTTGCAAATGCTGGAGGCCGGATTACTTTAATAAGTATGTCAGGAGGAAGAATGGAAACCCCGATTTGTAAAAATAATGTTTTGGATGTCTTAAGAAATTTGGGTGTTTGAAAGGGGGTCACTTGTTTTTTATGGCGGTTGCTTGGAGTTGCCAAAGGTTAACGAAACGTGTAATCTAAAGTTCACGAAGTATAGTTTAGGGACAATCATCCTTATATATTTGCAAGAAATATTGATGTTAATGAAACACTTTGAATGGCGTGCTGATGATCTATACAAAAAAAATTAACGTATACAAAATCCTAAACTTTGGCGTGAATCATGTATCACTTGGCTGAATAGAATGATGAAGAAATAGCTGTTCCAGAATTCACGTTTGAAAGAAAAATGGTGGTCGTGATTTCATGCTTAAGTTTAGTGGAGCGATATATCAAAGCTTGCTTAAATGTGTGACCTCCTTTTAATAGTTTCTTTTAAACTACCCTGTGCTTTCATAAAAAAATTACTCTGCCATCTGACTGGAATGCTAATATTTAGCAGGATTCTCGAAATAGAAGCACATTCTTTCTATGACCAATGTACCCAATAAAATAATAGTTTAAGTCTTCGGAAAGGGCTTGACTTTTTATGCCATATTCCAAATTTAGTATTGAGATAGAGCATCTTAGTGGCATTCTAGAAAGTGTGATTTTCTTTTGACTCTCACCTGATACTTTGGTCATAAAAATAAGTCTGTCACTCATATAACTACAGGTTAAGGTTTGCTGTAGTTTTTTGTACCTTCAGATGAATCAACGACTGTCTTACTCGTACTTTTTGAGATTGTATAGACTGCCTTAGAAAATGTAACTTCGTTATATTATATTGCACCTATGCAGGGTGATCTAGAAGATTGTAGCAGTATTTCTGGAGTGAAAAGTAGGACAAAGATTATATGAAACTTTCTTATAAATATGCGTTTTTAAATGCTTTCTCATCAAAGTCAAGCTGTTGAGGTCTTAACTGAAAACCAAAAAAAGATATTTTGGGAGTAGTACTTGAGTGTGTACCAGTAGGGTGGAAATTGGGAAATGTTGACCCCTACTGAAGAGAACGTAAGTATTTTCCACGCCACTGAGATAATCTATTTACTTTTACATGAAGTACATCTTTCGAGAAGCTTTCGTCAGACTACTCTTTTTTGAGAAAGTCTGCTTTAAAAATGGGTTATAGTTAGTGGAGTTGAAAATTGTATGCAATCTATTAGAAGAGTATGTGTCAACAAATTGTGTGAACATTATCCATGATTGTTGGATATTTTTTATTTTTGTATGTACATTCCTCTCCTTAGTGTCACGTTTTCTGAATCACCCTGTATAAATGAGTATCTAAAGACAATGAGTAATCAGAATTTTCATTTGTATTTAGTGATAACATAGGCCAACCTCTGCATCGTACTGTAAGAAGAAACACATTTTAGTTTAAAACTTCGGAAACACGGACCTATTTCTTTTTAGGGATATTTTTTTATAATTGTGATGATAAGGTAGACTATCAGTTATTATTTAGGGTAATTTTAATGTATTTATATTTTTATTATTGATCAATAAAGAACAAATAACGTTAATCTATTTCGATACATCTGCCTTTAATTTCGCTCGTCCCTTTCTTTCAACAGTCTGGATGAGGTTATGTAAGCAAGTACCACCTACTAATGGCTCGCAAGTCTTATTCTCACCGCCGTCAGTTGGAAACCGCCATTCCATCGAGCATGAATTAATCTAAAAGGAAAAAAGAATAGTTTAAAACGTTTTCTTTATTATTACATTATTGTTTCTTTAATCAAGTATTCAGTATATATACGAAATCCAGCAACTGGATGCTGCTGTTAAGCAAGCCTATGTACGTTATAATTTAGGTTAGGTTCACAAAATTATAAAAAATTAACTTATCTCCTTTAACTCATTTGTATTCCATGCTTGCTTCTTATTCACACTATCATAATATTTACTTAGTTTCTGGTAAAACAATTCTGAATGCTACAACATTTTTACAAACACAGAAAATTCGTTGTATATACTCAAGCAAATGAACACAAAACTGGTACAATGAATGACTGAATCAAGCAAATGCCGTAACGAAGTTAATGTGGTGTTTACGGTGTTTGACTGAAATTGTTCAGTCATTACAGGGAATAACTGGAATGCTTAGTCAGACGTTGCAATAATCAAACTGTCGCTGTGTTTGCCGGCAATACCGGGGCTGACTAGACATTTCAGGGAATGACGGATTTCAGCGTTTGACTCGTATACAATGGTGAATGGTGAATATATACGTATACATCTTGATATTCACTTATACAATGTTGATAATGTATACAATGGCAAATCATAGTTCAACTACTTACGTATAGTGCTGGCAAAAGTCCCTTTCCCTATTAGATTTCCATGCATACGAGGAAGAGAGAGAGGCAGACAAGCGGGCACCACTTGTGTGGAAAGAGTGCGCCACGCTCCACGTTGCCTGGCACAACAGTGATGAAGGCCACAGAATACAACTGTAGCTTGCTGCAACGCCTTGTTTTCTACGCTCAAATACACATTTCTGTCGATTCTGTTTGGGATCAATTCCAGATAGATCCTAATGGTTCTCCGATTTTAACTGAAATCTCAGGATAGATACAAATTCTGCAACAGTGCATTACTGGTTTGACTGTGGAAGCAGTTTATAAATAATGAAAAAATATATAATCTTTATTTATATACGTATACAAAGATACAGTTTTAAATAAATTAAGAACAACAAATGAACCCTAGTTCATCGATTTCTTTGTTCTTTTAGCTTCCAACCATATTTTCTTTTAAGTTGTCGGATCACTGTTTACCAACTTTCTGACGTTTGCGAATAAACCTACGCTATTCTATACATTGTCTTCATCATTGTATTCATTATATACGCAACGTATACGAACCCCTTCCCACTTCAGTTGGCCCAACTACTGAAATCTTAGTTTTTTTCTTATCAACACAAATAATAAAAATGCAGCAGGGTGCTATAGGTTTAAAATATTAAAAATGAATATTTTGATAATATATCGTAGAAAACACCAACTTTATCACTCCCTAATCAAATTTGCAGCATAAGAATAACACATGTTGCAATTACAGCATATCAACATATTTTCACTTCAATGCAAAATAAGTCTATAATGCATAGGTGGCTGTGAAAAATAAAATCCATGACAATTGTTTTTATTAATCACAGCTGTCAGAATACGTTTAAAATAGTTTTGGGTAGTTAAGGTTTTCAAAATGGGTAGAGGAAAGGTTATTAGTGAAAAAATTCGGATACCGATAATTAAATTTCTTAATTCTGGGAAGTCAAACTCAGAAATTGCAACTTTGTTAGACTTATCGCGGTACAGTGTGAGAAATATTGCTATAACGTAACTGGTTCAGTTAATATTAAGCCACGATATGTGAAAAAAAGTAATATTACAAATAAGTGCTCTGTGGAGTGACGCTGTTGGAAGGAGAATTTCGAGGTCCACAACTCATAGAGAGGCCCACAAACTGGAATTTAGCACTTGCAAGGTAAGTTTTCTTATAAAAAAAAGTAAAGTAAAAACCCTAAAGTTGCAAAACTTGTTTATAGGCCAAAGAAAAGCCACTATTAACTCCATTGCAAAAAAAAATCGGCTTAGATGGGCCAAAGAACACAGACAATCGACACCTCAACAATGGTGTGCAATACAGTGGAGTGATGAGCCCCGATTCGAAGTTTGTGTTGGTGACAGTCGCAGTAGAGTTATTCGCCAAAAAAATTAAGCATTTCATGTTGACTGTCTGAAGAGAAAAGTGAAATTTCCAGCATCCATTATGGTTTAGGGCAGTATGTCATCAAAAGGAGTAGTAAAACTTCATTTATTGATGGAAATGTGGGTACAAACAAATATTTGGCAATTTAGAGGAATCGCTTTTACCAGTGATGGAAGAATGCTTGACATTCGGTCAAGATTTTGTATTTCAGCAAGATGGTGCAGCTTGCCGTACCTTAAAAAAGGCTATAAAATGGATGGAAGAAAATAGTGCACCACTTTTGTAATGAGTTTCTAGCAGTCCAGATCTGTCACCTATTGAAACTTTGTGACACGGGATGATGAAGGTTCTACGACAACATCTTGCTGGTACAATCACCGGACTAAGAAAAAAGCTTCAAGAAATGTGGGATTGTTTTACACCAAGTTTTTACCATTACGTTATACAAGTATTCAAGTCCGCCGCTTCTTATAATATTAGGGCGTGTAAGGAAGCACCACCTATGCAATTTCCTTCCTTTGATTCAAGCACGCAGTACGCCATTTCTTACAAGGGCTGTGTAAGGATGCACCACTTACCAATGGTACGCAGGTCTTTCTTATTCCCACCTCCGTCACCTGGAGAAGAATCTTGCAATATGCCCTTACCCTACCAATTCAAGTATTCCACTTCTTACAAGATAAGGGTATGTACCGAAGCACCACCTACCAATGGTGCGCTAGTCTATTTTATTCCCACCTCTGTCACTTGAAAAAGGAACTTGCAATATGCCCTTATCTTGCATTGAAGTACGCCACTTCTTACGTGACAAGGCTATGTAGGCAAGCAGCACGGATGCTAAAGGGAGTTACGTACCTCATAAAGGGGAAATTTTGCCAGCGTTATAGAACAATCAACTATATATGTGTAATTGTCCGTGTAGACAAATGAATGTATTGTTTGTCTGACCGATATTAATAATCGCAGTTTGCTCCCTCGTTATGATTAATTAACTCTTGGCGAAGATGGAAAGAGGGAATTTTCTGATAATCACCAGAATGTAATGGACTATATATATAGATATATAAAATATAACTATAACTTTTCATCAAAAAAATGTACCTTTTTTGGATGAACGTCATGTTGCTACTTGTAGAGCAAAATGCCTTAATTGACTCTAATAACTAGAGGCCTATAACATTCATCCATGCATCCAAAATATTTAGAGAATTGCCGCTTGCTTAGCGCCATGCCGTGCTAGTTTAATCCAGAACCAGCAGTGTATAATTTCAAATCAATTTTTTTTACCGGCGTAGGTATTATTTTGTTATAATTACTCAGATAAGAAGAAAATAGTCACCTTTTTGTATAGGGTGACCGCCCTAATAATGGTAATTTAGTGGGTTAGTAGTGAAAAGATGTATTTAGGATCGAGTCAGTGCCTAATGTGAATATACAGTGCTTTTCTTTAATCCCCCACCTTTGATTTTTTGAATGGATCAATTAAAAGAATGGGTGCCATCTTGGGAAAAAATTATACGATAACGGGGGTCCTGTGGCACATCATTTTGAAGCTCCTGACGAGTACTTTATAACCCTAGAATATAAAGTCAATACCGTTACCTAGTACCAAATGGTGGTACATTTAATAATCACCTGGATACATTGACATTTAACTTGATAATTCGAATAAATACGTTGAGTTTAGTTTAGAAGATGCTGGAAATGGTTGCCTTGAACTTGTTGACACAATAACAGCCGGTCTGTAATTTCGCGTCGAACATAGAACATCGATATTTCTACAAATATTTGTTATTCTCAGCCGTATATCCAATATTGAAGCAGGCTCAGTTTCGTACACCATTTGCTTCAAATACCCCCATAAAAAAGTCTAAAGATGTCAAATCATGCAAGCGAGCTGGCCATTCCACAGGACCTCGATGGCCAATCCAACGACCGGGGAAATTGTTATCTAAATAATTCCTAACTTGTCTGGAGTATTGTGGAGCACCATCTTGCTGGAATAGAGTATCAGTATCGAATCCATTAGGATTCATTCGACGATTTCGGTGATAGAGGGCCAATAGTATTTTCCAGCATATGTAAATACAATTCTCCGGTTAAAGTTTGTTCAATGAATAGAGGCCCCACAATATGACTTCCCAATATCCCAGCCCAAACGTGAGGATTGGTGTCACTCCAATAACGACAATTTTGTCTATGCACATTACCGTTAAGAAAAATGTACACTCATCACTAAAACAAATATTTTGGATATAGGTAGGATGCCGTGCAATGGTTTCCGTCATAGTCTCGTAGAGTTCTGTTCTTCGATCGGGGTCATTTTCAGTTAGCTGATCTACTATTTGAATTTTGTATTGGTGATACTTATTCTTTTTCAAAAGTTTCCAATATAAGAACAAATCTCACGTACATTCGCGATGGGGGAAGTAGACTGTTGGAGATTTACTATGATCTCAGCAATTATTTGAACTTGCTTTTCTTCGGGGATGGTCGGACGACCTGGTAGCTTTTTGTTGTATACACTACCAGTAGCTGTAAATTTAGATACACGTTCCCTTAAATATTGTCTACAGATAGGACGATTCGGGAAACGATCATTAAAAATCCTTTCGGTCTCGTGAAAGTTACCTGTCGCACCTTAAATAAAAATTGCTTCGATTTTTTCTTCCAATAGACGACAACTGACCATTTTAAAAATAGTTCAAACAGTATCTAGCACTAAAACCGAAAATAAAGATATTTTAACTGTACAATGATATTTGCTTTCGTACTCATATTCTTGTCACTGTCAACAAAAAATAACAAAACAAGTTTTTATCGCTGTTGCTGTGGATACTGCAGGGAATTACAATTAGGTATTTGTAGAGATATGCGTGTTAGTGGGTTTGCGTTCAAGTAGTTATTAAATGTACTACCATATTGTAGTGGGTAAAGGTACTGTTATAAAGTACTCGTCTGGAGCTTCAAAATGATGTGCCACAAAACCCCCGTTTTCATATAATCTTTTTTCCAAGATGGCGCTTGAAATTTTCATCTGCCAATTTTACTCTAAAATATGGAATCCACGGCATCAATTTTGTTACCCTCAAGTTTTAATTTTTTGAATCAATCCGTTCAAAGAATCAAAGGGGAGGGAGCATTAAAGAAAAGCACTGTTGTATTTATACATAGTTGTGCAACGCACTAACCTCATCCGATTACATAGCAACATAATAATAGTAAGTAACTTTGTAACTTAATCAGCAGTGTGCATACATCAACAACATGAAAAGAACAAAAAGATTTCCTAGAGTAGTAGTCTCAGAAATTTGACATATCAACAATGCAGTCAAAATCAGTGTCTAAACTTTAGCCTATATAATTTTAATTATCACATATAGAATATAATGTCGAACTCAATATGCTGGTACGGGAAGGATTCCAGTAAAAGGTAAGAGTTCTTATCAAGTTTAACTGGGCTATATACAAACCTAACCCCTGGAAAAGACCAGATGTATTCAATTTATTACACAAGAGTTTATGCAGGAATATTAGGCTGACATTGGAACGACTTGATTGTAAAGATTATAGCAGCATATCACAAAAACTGGTTGACATCCATGTTTAATATATTAGAATTTAACATTAAGAGGTAAAAATAATTGTGTT